GTTCAATAAATTATTCTGATTTGTTGTCATTTTTTCTCTAGTTATGAGGATAAAAAGTACAAAAACCGAAAGTGAGGTTAGTTGCCTAAGGCCCGTTTTACATTTCTATGTCATTCGAATGACAAATCGTCCAAAATGTGTCCGCCAATGTATAAAACGGGTTATGTTATAAAGAGTGGTTATAAATGATTTTCATCTAGCCAGCTGTGAATTTTCCATGTAAAATAAAAAATGCCGCTTTATGAAAATAGGGGTACCTACTTGTTGTAACTCAAAATTAAAAAATCGCCGTTTACTAAGCGTCCACTTCGAAAATAGACTTCAATTATAAACTTGTTTTCTTCCAAAGTATACATTATTATCAATTATTATTGGAAATTAGTTGAAACAATAAAAATTTAATTAACAACAATTTATCATTAATTAATAAGTGACACTAATGACAGAAGTAGAGCTTTCAAAAAAGTAGAGCGGCACAAAGCTGGCTAGATGAAAATCATTTATAACCACTCTGAACTATTTTTTTGTATTTTGCCCTCTTCATACCGTTTTTAATCATTTTTTTTTTAATTTTTGTATTATGGATTTATAGATTGTTGTGACGTTTGGTAATATCTTAATTTTAAAAGTCAAAATTTGATCTAGTCGCTTTTTGACTATTAAGACATCCCACATGATGACGTCGCGTTCTTTAATATGTCTAGAAGGAAATATGAAGGAAAACTACAAAAAAAAATTTTGCACGAGGAAGAGTAGAAATCAACTTTTCTGATGTCAAAACTGTGACAGAAAACAAAATTTTTTCTCAAGTTACTAAGCCATTCCCATTTATTATTGGCTATTATTGGTTGTTATGGTGTAATTTCAAAGAAAGCTTGTTTTATGCTAATTTTTAAATTTTGTTATATAATTAAAGTCAATTTCTTGAGTTTTCAAATTCAAGTCGTGCAAAAAATAGTGTATACAGCACTGGAGAGAAATGCTAGTATTTTTTGGTGGTTTATAGCCCTGGGGTTTAGCCCTCTGGCATTTCAAGAATAATCGTACATTTTTTTTTCTTTATGCATAATATACTATTTTCATTACTAGTTGTAAAATGTACATTATTTAGTTTGTCGAGAAACTGTGAAGTTGTTTTTCTTTTTCAGTAGTCAATAATCAATTTCTTTATTGACCAAGAGCAATAACGTATTAGAGGTGAGTAAATACCAATATTGGATAATATTACATAAGCTTCATCGTTAAAAAGTATCAGAATAACTTCACTTCTAATCATTCTGTCTTTTTCAAAACTGTTAAAACATTTTTATTTTATGTTGAGATCCTAAAAACATACTTTGAACTTTAGTTAATAACTCAGGTAAGTAAGTAATTATTGTAGGTAATAATAAATTAATAAAAAAAGTAGTTGTGAATTGCGACATGTTACGTCTGAGACAACATGTGCATTAAGTAAAGTTATATCTTCACCGTTGTATTTCTAAGTAATAAATGTGCCAGTAGTAAAAAAAACGTTATATAAAACACAATAGAGAAAATTTTTATTGCCTCGCATTTATTATTTCCCTCATTTCGGCTAACAAACAGCTCGGCTATAAAAGATCTCTTCTCTGCCTTGTGATACAATATACTATTTTAACACTTTTGATAATTGAAATGAATTGACAAAATCTTATGTAAAATTGGCCGGAAAATTTATCTAAACATCTAATTAACTACGAGTTTTAATTATAGTTTTTAAGAAAAGCACGTGTGGAATCATATTTTTTTTACTACTTTTAAATGTATAAGAATTTGAATGCGTCTTTACGCGAAATGTTGGTTTATATTTTGGCAAATAAAGATCTCATGTTAAAAGGTGATAAATTAAAATTTATTAGGTTTCAAGTTCAATTAATTCATTTTCATTGAAAGTGGATTTGTAAAACCTTAAAAGGTTATTAAATTTTTCTCAAATTCACAAAATATTAATCAGACTTTGTCCAATTGTCAAGGCTTGCAACATGGCGTCGTGAAACCTGCAGCTTTTCTGTAATTCTTTCCTTGTGTTGCAATTCCGTCATTCGTGAAATTACTCGTGACAGCTCTCCGAAAAAATTGCTGTTTTAAAATTCATAATTGACTGTATTTCGTATACGAAATTAACGTCAGGCTTGACGTATCCGTCCATTTTAAAGTAAACATTTATTTTTCCTCTCGGGGTCAGAAGCAATCAATTCGAGATCCTCAACGCTCGCTCGTTATTACAGTAATATTTAACGTTGGATAGTGGATGAAACATTAAATTATGAAATGTTCTAATTAAAAAGCTTCCGCAATGACCAATTAAACCCCCCACATCGGGCCATTTGTGAAAGAATCGAAATTTTGCGTCAGTGTAACAGGAAAAGTTAAGACCTCGTGCGATAAATTAACCCGTTATGGGCCTAAATTCGCGCTTTAATACAACCTAAGTTCACCGTATTGCGCTTCGAGTAAACATTTACATGTACAATAAGCTTCTTATAAGCCTGTTTCAAGTTTTCGACGATGAGAAATTAAAGTTTGCGTCATCGTTGGGATTAATTATTATTACACTTATCTATGTGGAACAGTGGCACGATTTGAGGGCTAATGGAAACGCCAAATGCCTCTATTTAGACAAGTTTTGACGTATCGATTTCAAGACGATGTGCAACATTAAATTTCCTGTCAGTTTCCAATACTGCACTTGCAGTTACTTGGATATGTTAACAGAGGGGATTCGCTGTGACAAGATATAAATTTCACATTTCCAAGAAAAGGAATACAGAAAATGGGATTCTTGAATTGTGAACAAAACAAAACGAATTTAAAATAGATCGAAGGTAATCACGAAAAATAAATTAAACCAGAAATTGATATTTGGGAAAATCACAGTAACACTAAAAATAGAGTGGATTTTCCCACATCATCTACCACCTGTTATTTATTTATTAAAACATAAGCGAAATCTGCTGTTCCTTTATTGTTTAACGTAAAAAATAAATATTAACAGCAATAGAAACAACAATAATAATTTTGGGCCTTTTATAAAATCACATATAGTTGACGGTTTAATCAATACTTTGTAACCCTATTGTCAATTGCATTGTTATTGCATGTTGCCAACAATAACCTCTACTTATACAACATGAAATGATATTTATGCTGTAAAGAGCCTCACTTGCATTTTCATAAAATTTAGCTATTTAATGTTCAATTAACTTATTGCTAATTTAAAAAACATTAAAATGCGTTACTAATCTAAAATAGTTATTTTTGTAACAAGTATGTACCTATAATACATTTATTACAGCAACGATTCGTCCACAAAAATTTTTTGAGCACAAGATTTTTTGTTAAAGCTTCCACAAACGCATTTAAATCTTTTATTATACAGAATGTCTTGCGAGCATTTTAACCATATGTATATTAGGCATTAAAAATGAATTAATACGTTTTTTTTCTTAAATAGAGTTAATATTTTTTATCTTTTTTTCTTTATCTTGAGATAAATTGCTTTATAACTTTATAACACAAATTAGTTTAGTTTAGCATTACTACAATTTGAAAACCCATTCAATTTAAAAACTTTTTTGTTTCTTTTTCGTAAAATGTACCGTTTTCGAGTAAAAAAATAAAATATGAAATGATATATTTTTAAACTAAATGGCTTTAACTTCAAGTCTGTCAAATGTGCAAGTATTATTATTAAGTTTCGTTTATTAACAATTTATTCCAATTTTTTCGTTATGCTTGCTTATTTTACAAACGAAGAATATGCAAATATGCATGCAATTTATGGCGAATGCCATAAGAGTACTAGAAAAGCACGAAAAAATTGTTATAAAATTGTTGGCATAAAAAAATATAGAAATCGTGTTTTATGTTAAAAATTTCACAAAATTATAACAATTGAAAAACGATTTGATGTTAGAGAACTAATACTTTTACAAAGAATGTACCAAAAAAAGTGTTTTGTTTTGTCAAATATGAGTATGTAAATAATAATATTAATAATGGTAATAAAAATTGTTAATTTGTAAAACAACCTTCTCGACAACCTTTGAAAAAAGTATTTTCATGAAAGTAATCTGTTTTATTTTTTCTAAAAACTAATACATTCTAAGTTTTTGCATTCAGCTCAATAAATCATCTTGTTCTTGTTCAGTTTTTTTTGTTCAATTTTGTAGAATTTATTTTTTCGTGAATAAATCAGTTCTTGTAAGTTTGAAGTTAAAATCGTTTAGTTTAAAAACATTGCGGTGTCTGATCTATGATTAATTTCTCAAAAATAGTGGTTAAAAATAAAAAAATAATATTTCAAATAGTTATTTTAAACAATTTTCCTCAACAGAAAATAAAGTGACGCTTTATTCTCTCGTTTTTGACTAAGAATTTGGCACTTTACATCCTCGGTAATAAAATAAATACCGAGATTAAAATTGTTGTAAATTTTTTTGATATAAAAATAACTATATTATTGAGTCTGAAAAACTAATCCTAGTAACTTAAATGAGTTCGTAAAAGAGCTAGTTTTTTGAGTGTATACAAAAATAGTATTTTAAAGTTAATTGTAAAGAGTAAATTATTCAATAATTTATTTATGCATGACTATAGCAAATAATGACATCAAATTTATACAATTTGTACCTACTGTAGAATTTTTAAGTTTAACCAAAAAAATCTAGAGTATCTTTTCTTTCATAGCTCAATAAAATGGCAAATTTTACAAAATAAGATTAACCCGATACTGTAAAATTATCAAATTAATTAAAAAGTTTAAAACATATAACAAAGAAACAAGAAAGAGAAGATAATTACCAAAAACAAGAAAAATAATTTTGCACCAAACAAATTTTTTTGAAAAGAGGCTTTAAATTTATTTAATTACCACATTTCTTGAAGCTACCATAATTTATCGTACTTAACACAAGTAATTTTGTAAAAATATGGGTGAAGCTCCTCAGGCTTAATTAAAAAAAAATCGGTCAACTTACCTGTATCCAAAAGGGCAAGTAGAACCCCGAACAGCAAAGCAGGGCCGCTGCAAGGGACAACGTGGCCCAAAGAATTCCAACTCCGGTTAAAGAGGTTGCCATCGTTAACACATAGTCTTTTAATTAAATCACAAAGACGCGTTCATGGTCATCTGACCATCGCTGGTCATTACCCAAGCTCCATCTGTAACAAAAATTTCAAGGCTGAATTTAATAAAAACGAAGGTTTCACGTGACTGCGATATCTCCGAAGAATTTTATTATTAATGACTGGCAGTTAGGAGTAATTTTCTTCGCAACATATTTGTTAAACTTGACGCACTACACCTGCAATATTAAGTCCGTCGAAAAAATATAGATGGAAAAATTGACTTGACGCAGGCGATTTAACATCAGAGCTATATGACAAGTTATGAAAGTAAGCTGAAAGATAAAACCTGAAAAGAAACACTTATCAATTATTGACACGGGAACGGTGAGATCTATTCGAGGAAAAACTTGACCAACTGAAAATAAAATGAAGAATAATGTATGGGTTTTGGTCCACTTATTTATTGAGATGTTTTTCGCTGAAATGACATAGTCTTTAATCAATAATTGTGTTTCGTGTTTGAGGACCGAGCTCTGCGAGCCAATTTGGATCATTCTCAGCGTGGATTTAATCAGCCTCCTTTAACACTAACTTTAATTAACTGAATCAAACAGGAGATCATATCTGTGTACTCAACAAGATTAAACTTGTTTTTAAGCAAGGATTTTAAATGAAATATCGACAAATTGTCACAACTCAAGTCTTATAGACTGTACGTTTTTATGTGAGGGATAGATTTTTATACTCCTTCCTCACATTTTACTCACAGGAGGTTTTATTTTGCACGAAAGTCGTATACCTTCCTTGTAATATTTATAATGTTGGCTCAGCGCCACTTCAACAGGTTTTACTTATTTATTTTTCGCTTATTGCTCGAGTTATTAAACATCATTCATTTTCAACAAGGCTTGGAATTGACTCTTCCACTAATAAATTCCATATTAGTGATAATAAAGTTGTCAAAGCCGTACGAGTCATTATGATGGAATTGTTTTACTACTTTAACAATCCTCCAAGGAGGTAAAAAGTGGTCAAACTGGGAGAAATAATAGAATATTGTTTTCGACTTGGCTTAAGGTTGAAAAGTTTGTTGCACACTGGGGTCGCTAGTGAGATACATTTTTAATGACTTTGCGACAATTGGATCTAATTACATTTTTTCGAATTTCTTATTCTTGTATCATGAATAAAATAAATTACGTTCTGAGAAGAGTAAAGTTTGATTAAAAGATCATTTAAATTGTTTGCGAAACAAAAACTTTGCGTCAAGTTTAATTATCTTATTTCCGAAGTTCACTGGCCTAGAATTACAACACGAGAAAAATTTATTTAAAACATGTGGTAGAATGTTTTTTTGGGGTAAATTTTATCAATTGAAAATTTGGTCGTTATCTGGCGGAAATGTGCGTGATATCTAAGCCTGTGCGTGAATGTCGACAACTAAATCCACCACCACCACCACATTTCCAAACATCTGTTTTTGCCAACGCTGACTGGAGGATAATTATATTTAATATACAGAATGGTAAAGATACGAAAGTGCTCTAACACGGTTTGTGTGATGCCTTTGAGGTTCGTATGCATTTGCATATGTGCACTTTTGTTGGTCGGGTAATTGTTATGTAGCGTCGTGAATCTCGGAATATGTGGATTTTAGGTGAACACACCGTCAATTTGCATTTTTATGTTTGGAGGAAAAATATTCCCCGAAGCGAAATGTGTTCAACGCAATTCGCAAATTTCAAAACAGATCCCTTTGTTCAGGTCGCATTATAAAAGTCATCGGTTTTAAGAGGAAACACAATCATGGTGCAGTTTTCAATCGCAATGGAAATCGATATCACAAATCTCAACGCTTCCACTCACTTTGTGCGAAAAAAATAAAAGTTAATTAAACAATTTACAAAAAAAAAACAATTAAAAATCAAAACATTATTCTCTCAGTTTTTCTATAGCAGCACACGATCTTAAAAATAAATTAGATTTTTGTTAAAATACGTGTTTTTAATTACATATTATAAGAAAAGTAAACCAAGACAATGTCAATAAGAAAAAAATAAATAATCTTGTCAATTAAAATCTCGAAATGTTGACCAGGAACCCTCAGGAATAAAATAAAGGAAATACCAATTTTTACTCTTAAAATAAACTGGAATTGAATAAATTAAATCTTTTTAGTGATTATTGACGTAAACACTCTTAGATACCGCTTTTTACTGTTAAAATTGCAAATGAATAAATATTTTGACAAATTATCTGACATTATGTGACAAATTTACATTTTCTAGTTATTCTGATTGCAAAGTTATTTGTATGCCACTGAAAAATAAACAAAGTTATTACACAGTTTAGATTTAAAATACTTTACTTTACTTTACTTTATTTCTTTAATACATAGATAAATATCATTTTAGTTTTTTATTTATTTTAAAAATAATAGTAAATAAATTGACGCATTTTGCAGTAGAAATCCAATTGTTTATCAGTTTATTAATTCTTCCATTTAAAAATTAATTCAATTTTAAAAAGCATTTACAATTGTAATAATATTAATTATAACATCCACTTCGCTAAAAAAACATCGTTTAAATTAAAAAATGTTTAAAAAACATTGAATATACTGTTACACTTTATATTGAAATACGTATTGTATTTCAAGTACATATTTTACTATTTTGATTATCAAAAACAAAATCATGTTAATAAAATAATCGTCAGCAAACTACTACTAATATTAAAAATTCAGAAATTTATAATTTAATTATTGCATCAGCTTATAAAAAATTAATTCATTATTAAAAATTCTCCATTTTGTATTTCTTGTTCTTAAAATATTATTGTTTGATTTTGTCGAAACTGGTATACAGAACAGAGGATGAATAAAACCATTAAATTTGTCGCGACGTTTCGATACCTTTATTGTATCTTCCTCAGGCGAGGAATTTTTGTTGGCTGAGCGTGGGAGGCATGGCACATTCAAGAAAGAACTTCCTCCCATCTTCGACAAAATCAAACATTATTAAAAATGTATAAAACTAATAAAATAATAAAAAATACTAATAATAATAAAATACTAATACTAATAGAACCTTGAATTTGTTTCCCCTCTTTTGCAATTTTTTTTTCTTTAATAATGTGTTCTTTTTAATGTTTTTATTGTATTTTGAGTCTATAAACTTGTTTCAAAACACGCAAAAGTGGGCATAATTTTAAGCTTTTATAGGCCCTTGAGCTTTTTTATTATCAATAACATACGAAATCACATGAAGTCCATAACAGCGGCAAAATAGCGTTTTCGATTTGTTCACCAAATTTGGCAGAAACATAATTCTTATTTGAGAAAAGGAAAATGTAATTCAAAATACAGTTAAACGTTGTATTGTGAATTAATTGTGAATTATGGCCCTCAGGAAATTAAAAGCCTTCCTAACACCAGGCTTTAAATATTTCTTCCCAGATTTTTTTAAAGTATGGAGAAAAGCATTTCTCTATTATTTGACATAATTTTTGTACCCTTTTATTTTAACTAAAAATGGTCAAACTGTTTCAGATTATAATAATTTGAAGCAATTTTGTATTTCTCTTTTTTTAATAAGTATTTTGTTAAACCTTAACTTCAAGTTTCGAGTTTTAAAATACAGGAATTGTTTTTTATTGCGCGAGTGAATTGTAATTCACTTCGATTTTTCTATAAATAATGAGAAAGGAGAAACAATTTGGAATTAAACGGCAATCCTCTTAGGTTTGAAGAAAATTCAGTTGGGATTTCGCGTCGGCATTATCGACAACATAACGCTATTTGCAATTTCCCGTCAGCGAGAAAATGAAATTTTTCATACAATATTACCGCAATGAGTGGATTGAAAGTTCAGCAGCACGCACCACCGTGAACTTTTTCAGTATTTTTAAGTTATCGGATTATGTAGTCCGCGAACCGAATCCAACAACACTTAGGAAACAGCAACACCGCAACTAAATGCGAACACATGCTGCTTGCATAATTCATTTTACAAGTTTCGACTCATTCTACATTTTGTAAAACCTAAGACATGAATTAAGTAAAGTTAAGGAAAATCGCCACAAAAGTCTAGTTATTGTTTGAGGGAGAAACAATAACAAACTCGACCCGAGGAATGTTCCATTTGAATTCAACACGAGCAAGGTTAAAAGCTCTTTCACAAAATGGCAAACGAGTCTCTATTTAAACGATTGATAGACAGTTGACCAGGATTTTTTGATCTTCCACTTCGATGAACAAATAGCAAAACAGATGGAACAAATTGCGAACTGAACGAAATTGATAAATGTGATACTATTCAGGATTAATCTACTTAAAAAATTCAGTTTTTGATGAATCAATATGGTAGTTAACCGAGGTTTATTTTTGATTTTTGTTGTTTACTCGTTTTTTCTGACTTTAATTAATATTCAAGAGCAAAAATCTGAATAACCCGTGTGTTAAATCTGATTTGTCGCATCGCAAATTTCCCTCAATCAAATAATTGACATTCCTTAATTACAATAATTCATTGAAGCAAACAGTAAACATCTGTTTACAAACATTCATTACTAATTTAGCCACTTTTGGAAATTCTCTATGAGGCTAATATCAGATGGTGTAGATCCAGCTTTCCGACGCTGAATTTTTCATTAGTCATTATACCCACATCCGAAATTTTTCACTGGCTCTAATCTGAGTCCCGAATAATTGAATTGAAGCGGCGTGTAACGAAATTATGCGCCATTGAATCAACGCATTTTTACACAACAACCACATCGTTTAATTCACTTGCATTTCAAGCAGGTCCAACCCCGGAAAAATCATTAAAACTTGTTGAATTGGGTGTTAACGAAAAATCTCGTCGGACAGACGAGGAATGTTAACGACCCACGTATGACATAATTCAACTTAATTGGTCGGAATTGACAACAATTACTTTAGTCGTCTTTATTTTTACTGGGGGCTAATCAACGCAATGACATGGCGGCTGCTATGGCGGATTTGATGTCATGTTGCAACTTTAATTTATTATTAACTTCAGTGTCTGAATTAACACTGACACGAGAGGCGCATTGAAATTATCGATTTGGGAATTAATTGAGGTGGAATTATAATTAACAGAAATTATGAGTTTCAAATGCATCAAACATTTGTTTGATTTTTTTTGTTGATTCCGGACAAATCCGGAAGTGTAACTAGTAAAGTGGTTTTTTAGTAAACGAATAATTTAATTTTTAAAGAGCAAAATTTTAAATGCGCTCTAGTCTGACTCCTGGTTTCCGCTGTTCAACAGAAATGTAGTAAGACTTTAACAGTATTTATTTTTTTGTAAAGCATACCGTTTCCTAGAAAGAGAACCACGTTTAAATGTTTAAATATAATTTTTTTAATTTTTCCCACTTGTGATTGTCAAAATTTGATCCATATTTAGAATTAACATTAAAATCTCTTGGATAACATACAGTTTGTGCAAATATTTTAACATGTGATAGTAGAGCTAAAACAAATCAAAATAACTCAACTCAAATTGTAAACAAATATGATTTTTTTGGTTGACTCTTCAAAATTTATTACATACATTGTCTTATGAGTTATGCATCCATTTTTTTTTTGTTCAAGATATAATCGAATTTCATTACCTCAAATGTTACCGACAACTTGCAATGTAAACTTTGGGATAAAATAGCTACCCAACAGTTTAAACTTCGTTTATTGCATTTTTTTACAATTTTTCCGACGCCAAAATAGAGCTTACATCTTCAGAAACTGTAAAAACATTTGGATAAAGCAAGTTTAGTTGTTCTGACTTCTTTTGAGCTCTACTTTCACCTGTTAAAATATTTGCATTTAAAAATCGCTCAGTAGATTCAAAGTCTATGTTTTAAAATAAATCTACAGTATGTCCCCGGATTCAGTTTACAAGATGAAAAAATTTGTTATCTTTGATTTTACGCCAAAACTACAAAGGAAAAACATTTTTTGCTTCACCTGAAACAAGCAAATCTGTAATTAAAACTTTTTTTTAAGTCTTATCAAATTGGCGTTTTTATTTATTTGACAACTATATGTCACTTTGCCAATTTCTTTATTAATTATATAATGATAGTTCTTGTTAAAAATGCCTTTGTTTTTTTAAGTTTCTTTAAGTTGCTATTTATTAAAATTATATTTTTCACAAACATCTTTGTTATTTAACTTGCGTAAACTTATTTGGCAAAGTGACATCATTGTCATTGTAAAACCGCCAATGTGATAGGATTTGAAACACAGAAAAATTATTCTAGTCCAAAATCAAGAAAAAAATTAATTTTCTTTTCTACTGAGTTAGAATAATGAATTTTTTGATTACAGATTTTCTTGTTTCAGGTAAAACAAAAAATGTTTTTCCTTTGCAGATTTGGCGTAAAATCAAAGATAATTATTTTTCCTCTTGTAAACTTAATCCGGAAACATACTGTACATATCTAAAATGTTTCAAAAAATTGATTGTCATCAAAAAAAAATATGTCACAAAAAAGTGTAAACAAGAAAAGAAATAAAAACTACGAAGTGAAGAGAAAATTAAAACAAAGTAATCATTTGCCTGCAGAAAATAATGATTAATAAAAATTTCCAGCGTTATCAATTATGATCGAAATTTGAGAATAAAATTTAGTTTTGTTTTAAAGTAATGCAATTTTTTTCAAAGTGGCCACTTTATATGAACATATTTTTCGATAAAAATTGAATAAAATGTAGATAGAGTAATTCGTAGATTATAGCTTTTGTAAAAAACCGTTTTTCTAGTGGGTTGCCATTTATTAAAATTAGGAAATTGAAAAAAAAAAGGAAAAATGTCTTTTTTGTATACGTTTCCGAAAATAGCCGCTTTAGAGGCTCATTTGAGTCCCTAAAATAAGTTTTTTCGGGACTCATTAAAATAGTACGTAAAATGGTTAGTTTATCTGCTCAAGAACAGTCCTCAAAAATTTTTCCGGACAAAAAGTCAACTCAGTTACTTTAGTGGCAATTTTTTTTTTAATTAATGAAAGGTGTGAATTTGTTTTTTTTGATTACTTCTTTTCAAAAAAAAATAAGTAATTTACACAAAAACGTTTGCCTCTATAGTTTATGTTCACCTGGTATAATAACTATAAACATAAATAGACGTTTCCAATATTAGGGCCACACGAGTAAATGAAGAAACAATGAGGCAATCGCGTGGAAGAAAATGACAAAATATTAACTTTAACATGACAATAAATAACAAATCTCATTTACCCGGAGATGAAACATCTTTTACGTTAGCGTTTCAAAATCTCATAAAGTTTTTTGAAATTATTTATTGTCAAGCGAAACATCAAAATAACTTTTAGGAACTCTAAGTCATGTTAGAATAAAACAAATGAAATTATCCAAGACTTGGTTGGGATTCACTAAGAGACAAAAAAGCCGGAGTTTTAATTTAGAGAAGTTTAAATCGGGTTTGAAAATAACAATGGAAACAAATGATTCGTCTATCGCAATTAATTAAGAACTCAATATGCAAGAATCGATGGAATTCCAGTGCAAATTTGTCTCTAATTATTAAACAATATTACTCGTTAAAATCTCGCCTGTGGTATCAGCTGATCAAGCAGCATTTATTTTTGTTAGTGATTTTTTAATAAGTGTCTGGAAAGTTGGTGGTAACAGTTTCGCTTCGTTGCCCAACAAAGTGTGTCGATTTTTCTTGTTCCCGGATTTCCTTCCGGATCTTTAAACACGTGACAAGTTCATACTAGCACAATCACACGATAAAAATTCATTATCGATTTGTCAAAATTTGGTCTAGTTCCAATTACCAAAGCTTCTATTTATGAAGTCGTCACGAATATGAAAAAAAACCCAAAGAAAAAACCGATAAAGCGATGATTTATTGCATCGGCTTTCAGACGCATCTCCCTTATTACCAGTAACAGTCTATTTTCAGGGGCTTTGATACCACTGGCTCTGTAAATATTTCGAATGTATTTTTAGACACCTTCTGGCAAACATCACGTTTCCGAAACGAAAATGAAACAATTCCGGCGTTCATTACTACATAATTACCTCGAATTTGTTGGGATTTGTTGAGGGTGAGTTTCAACATATGTCACTCCACGTATTTACTACCATCACGAGCTGTGCTCTGGCGGACACCCCAACAAGCGAAACGCGACTGAGTGAGGCTGAGAGGATCTCTCGCGAGATGCACAAATGCCCTGCGCTGGTTTATCACAAGCACTTAATTTTTTCTATGCATATTTTTTTTAAAGAATCATTTGTGCTTGGAGCTTGTTACAGGAGGGATTAAAGTGTCGCTGCTGTGTTGAATTTACGACCGGTGATATTTCAAAAGCTGCACGGGGCCCGATTGAGGTTTATAGAATTTGAGGAAATGAGGAAATTGTGGACAACACTGAGAGTGGGTGTTAATTGAAAGTTTAGAAAAAATGTTTGAGAAATTGAATATCGAAGCTGTACTAAAGCTGTGATTTTTTAATCAATGAATGAACGGTTTAAGTTTTTTTTTTCTTTTGCTTAGTTGATAAAATCTATTCTGCACAGCTAGGTATATGATTTATTTTTTTATGATAATGAGAATATCTGATATAATAAAACAGTACCTAGTATGTTTATTAGCGCTATTTGAATCAATTCTAAATTCAAATTTGAATTCGTGGGCGAAACTTGGATTCTATATGAGAAGAAATATTTGGATCCTAAAACGGATCTTGACAAAATTCAGTGATTATAAATCTTCTGTAAATTTGTGTGCTTCTTTTTTCTTGTGTCATGCAAAAAACGTTCCAAAACGATTTTTTATGTTTTTTCAATTATTCTTACCTACCACCGGTTGTCAAGTTTGAAGATTAATTACAAAAAACTGAATTAGAAAAAAACATAGTTAATTATATCAGGTTAAAAAAAAGTATGGAACCAATAGTTTTTGGCTTAAACTATTTATTTTTTGAAAAACCTAAAGTAGGATCAGGTGGGGCAATTGCAATAACGTACTAAAGCTATATTTTCTTAAAAGAACTCAGTGCTACCATATCTGATATCACATCCTTACTTCAGCAAATTTAAGCTAATCACCTGTTAATATTGTTTTATCGACGGACAAATGAGTGACGTGTCATTTCGTGACGGTTCTTTAAAATGCATGGGATTATAATGCTATTTTTTTAAAAAGTTTCTAACTTGTTTGTCTAACTGTCTGATCTCTCTGAAACAAACTCTGCTTTGATCTTTTTTTATTTGTATTATCCCAGAATCCAATCTAAAAACTCTGTTACTAAATTCGTTATAAATATTACATTTGCCCCGTTACAGGGGGTAAATGTAATAATGAGTATGTAATGGTACTTCATTTAGACCCATATTTTTTTGAAAAATTTTTTTTTTCCTTATTTCTAAATACTTAAAATAAGAGCCTAATATATGAGTAGTAAGCTATATGTATAAATAAAAATTCTTTATAATTAACTAGTAAATGAGCTATATGAAACTGAGTTTACAAATTTAGTTATGGCCCTCGCATTTGCCCTGCTTGACACTACTATAAAAATTTGATGTTTAATCAAGAATAAAATTTTTCGATTTTTTTTAAAAGGTTAAAACCATTTTTCTCATAAACCATATGCCCTAAAAATTCTAATGATTACAAGTATCTACTTTATATTTAATTTTTTACATTAATGGCAATTTTGACAATAAAAATCGCATATAACTCAAAAATAAAACACGTTCGCAAAGTACGGTCACATTTTTTATATTACTTTAATTTATATTAATTATTATTTTCTGAAGATAAATGATTAAAAAAAAACGCTTGGTTTCATATTTTATATTTACCCTGTAATTTTATTGAAAATCAGTTGTTTCTAGTAGGGATAGTATTCCTGAAAAAATCACTTTCTTATAGACATGTAAATACATGTGTAACCATTAATTATTATTGTGACATCAGGTGTGAATAATGAAAAGTTTTTTTTTATAATATCTACGTAATGATAAATAATATATTATGTTATTAGGAGTAAAAGTGATAGTTTATGTGGCGAGGCTAAACATTTATTTTACCGAACGCAGTGAGGCAAATAATTCAGCTCAGTTAGATAAACTCATTTTTAAAAAGGTGTACAATAAAACAGGTAAGATTTCGACCTCCAAACCTTAAGTTTTTTAGAAAGCTTATTGAAAGCTTTACCGAATAAAGTAATAACATACAAGGTGTTTTATTTGAAAAGTTACTTGATATTTGAAAGTTACTTGATATTTTGCGAATGTCAACACTCTGCAGTTGTTGCGCCACCCTACATAGGAGTCACCTATAATGACGAAAATATTTTTGGATCATAGAAAAAATGAATGTGTATTGTCCAAAAGAAACCGTATTTTGTTATCTTCTTTACTGTCCGAGTAATCGAAGAAATACGGAACTTTGGGATACCCTGTACTTACTATTTTATCCGCAAACGTATTCAGATTAGGGTGAAGAGCAACACTTTAACTAACAATGATTAACAATAAACAAAATAATCAGAACGATTTGCAATGAAATTAAAACAAACGTCACGCGACAGTATCGAAAGTTGAGATTTTTGAAAGCGTTTATTAATTTAAGTAGTGCAGTTAGTAGTGCAAAATGTCGAATGCTGATGATCTAATGGCAATAAAAAATATTATTTACAAAATTTTAATGTCAATGTTTGTCACCATTTTAAACTCAATTTTAAACATTATACGAGTAGATATTTAATTCATTCAATTAACTTATAAACAAGGTGTTTTCTTAGTATTGCAAAAAATTGCAACCACATAGGATTTGAAAAATAACACTAATAAAATTCTATTATACGGTTATACGAATAAAAAAATCAGATCCATTGGAATACCGATAATAATTTTAGAATTCGTACCTACATTTTGAGACGGATCCAGATTCACATAAAATTTTACATCCGTGTAACACTAATATTTATTTACTGTACACACAATAAAATCAAATTTCAAACAATTTCATAATTTTATGTTTTCAAAATAAAAAATTTCTAATAATCCGGCTGTGTCAAAAAATGAGGTGTTAATATTTTGATCGGTTAATAGTAATTATTTAAACGTGGAGGTTTCATTATGGGCGGAATAGCATACATTTTAACATGGGGTTTATAGTAATAAATGTAGAAATAAATGTTAAAAAAGTTAAATAGTTGTTTAACTACTGATGATTTTCAATTTACGCTCGTATGTTTTAGCTGATTATATAAATGTTATGCTGCAGAGAAGTATTTTGTGCAAAATTTGCTCGTTTCATTTAATTCCCTTTGATTTAGTAAATTTTGATTCAATAAACACATTTCTTCATCTTTCCACGTTTTAACCAAATTATGTGTTTATCCAGCACACGAGAGTCAAGAGCGAATAGAGCTTTGATAATTTGAAACGTAAGTTTAGTAGAATCACGGTTCACTGTAAATGCAAATATGAAAATTATGTAAATACACGTCAAAAATTCACTCCTCAAATAATTCATCGGAAATAAAGTGTACACAGTAATCCTAAGCAAACGTAAAGTGTTAGTAAATCACTCTTGCAAGCAGATTAAAATATGTTTTAGTGCTCGGTAACAAAACCAAACTAAATATTAGGCAATTAGACAGACGAAATTGAATATCGATCTGGCGAACGTAAGTGGCCATAAGGGCGTTGTTGTCAACAATTACCAGTGAAATAACAGTGAAACACCATTTCGAGAGATCTTTATCACGATGGTTATGTGGGCAAGCGTGCCATTTTATTAGAAACAAACATATTGACGCGGCAATGGGGCCTTTGTAGACCCACCGTCTCTGTTCAACAACACTTTATGCGTCCCGAATTCCTTTAATTGTAACGTCGTGATTGTGACCCACTAATGGGGTCATAAGCTCGGACAACTTCGCACCCCAGAAGCACTTTTGCGTGCATTGTGTTTTAGGGTTGCAATAAAATTTATATGATAATTAGGATGGCTGTTATTGTTACGAAACGGATTAGATGGGATGCCATCTCTATGATAATTTGTGCCGTTTTAATTCCACTTTTTCCTTATCGGAGCAAAAATTAAAATTTCCAGCTACAAGCTTTATTACGCGAGCTGATTAAAAGGACAAATTCAAATTACAATGATTACCCAAATTTTCATTTTGTTTACTCCAACTCTCTCATAAAGTCGCACTACTCCGAAATAAATTATAGATATTTTATCGACAATAAACTTTCGCAAGTGCGCTGTTTAAGAATAGAAGAATTATTTGTTTGGCACATGACGACTGTTATATTTCAAAACTATAGCTTTATATGTACGAAAAATTATTTTTTACTATTTTGGTTTTACTACAACAAAATATGTGCTCTTGATTTTCGACATAAAACTCATAGTTTTTGAACAATTTTTTTTATTAAAACGATTATAATATGGTCATCTAGACGTAAAATCAGACACTCAACACGACACAACGGGTTAAAATGCTCTACGAAGCGTAGTTTTTGAGATATTGAGTAGTAGTATTGAGTATTGAGTAATAAACTGCAAAATTCGTATCTAATAATTTTGCAATTATAGTCGAATCTATATTTTCAATATTTATGACTTTATCACCAATTTTCTTGATAAATATTTATCGTAGAACACTGATGTTTTTTTGTTGTGATAAAAAATTAAATTTTCTTTCTAACGGTATCAACACAAAAACCTATCACCAATAAGTCCGAAGTTATTGGTAACAAACCGCTCCAGATGCCAAAAATCGACCAAAATCTCAACGAAAATCAAAAAAATTATCAACTTTAAAATTGATTTATACAGGGTCTTCCGTTTTTATTGTTACAAATTTAAACAGGTCATAGAATATTCAATTTTAAGATAAAAGTTTCCTATGAAACATGTATCGAAAAATATTATATAAGGGAGCTCCATCTCCTGAAATGGGTGCATCTTTAAATGGATTTTTTCCAATATTTCAGAAACCATTGTAGATAAAATTACAAAATTTGGTACAACCGATAATCTTTACATACCCAAACGAATTCACAAGTAAAATGTCAAAATTTTTACTCAGGGGCATCCTAAACTGGGGGGTTTAGGGTAAAAAGTATCCTAACTTTTTTGGCTGTTGGTTCTTACCTCTTCCAGCCATAAAATTTTAAATTCCATAGTTTT